TTTGGGGTCACTAAGGGACTAGTTGATGAGCAGTATGATGACGGGGCAGCTGAGTGGTGCAAGTACAGGCCCAGGGCTTCCCCTTGCCATCCTGTGCTGTCTCCCCCCCCACCCCCCAGGGAAGGGGCATTGTTGTCAGCCACACATTCTCAGCATTGCCTCACCCCAGAATGACCTCCCTGGTGTGCTGGGAGGAAGGCAACTCAGTGTTCACAGGGCAGGGAAGGGAGCCGGCAGCCAGGAACGGGAGGAACTGAGGAGTGGCAGCTGGGCAAATGCAGGAGCTGAGGTGGTGGCGCCGAGCCCTGGGACAGGCAGCTTTGGGAAAAGATGGGCATGGAGGGACCTGAGAAGTCACCAAGTCCAAAGCATCGTAACCGGACAGTAAAGAGGAGAAGCCAAGGGGTGTGTCTCCTCCCTCTACCACTGCTGCCTCTCCCTCCCTAGGCTGGTGTCCTCTGTCCAAGCCGTCATGGCCTCCACAGCTGGCTACATCGTCTCCACCTCCTGCAAGCACATCATCGATGACCAGTAAGTGCCATGACACCCCCTGTGCCCAGGTTCCAGCATTTCGTGTGTGTGTGTGTGTGTGGCCCTGAGGTCTTCTAGGGGACTCCGGCAGTGGTCCCCGAGCCCTTCCCTTGGGCCTGAGCAAGTTAACTGCAGTAGCTGCAACTCAACACCCAGGGATAAATTTATCCACGTCCTGTCCTTAAAGGTCAGAACAAGCCGGAGAAGGAATAGGGATCAAACAGGATTCTAGAAGCAACTCCTGGGCCTCCCAGCCTCTTTATCACAGGTCCTCCCCTACCTCCTCCAACCCTACACCCTTCAGACCCTATTTCCAACCAGCAGCTAACTGGCGTTCCTCCTTCTTCATGCTGGGCTCACCCCTCACCTCCTCCCAGAATCCAGGGACCAGCCCCAGCTTCATGCACGAGGGAGAGAAGAGAGATGACAAAAACAAGGCCACCAGTGGTGTGTGTGTGTGTGTGTGTGTGTGTGTGTGTGTGCGCGCGCGCGCGCGCGCAGAGGTCAAAATTTGGCACTGGCCGCTGCTGCAGTGCCTGGTGCTTGCCAAAGCCCGGGCCGAGAGGTGGGGCCAGAGCGGGACGCAGAGGCCCCTGTCCATGGTGCTGACAGGCCGGCGCTAGGTGACCCGCGGGCTGCGCCCGAGTTGCCTGTAAGGTGCTGACGAGGCCGCGCGCTTCACTTCGGGCCCCGCCTCCTTTCTCTGGTGGCTGCCGAGCCCCAGGGACATTGTCTGGATGAGCCTGAACTGGAGGTGCCCCATCTTTCCCTGCAGATGAGTCCCCTCATCTGTGGATTGGGGTACATCCCGCGTGGAAAGGCAGCTGGGAGGAGCTGAGTTGTGTGTGAAATGCCTAGAGCAGTCCTGGCTCACATCTACTGGATACTGAACTCTTTCTTCAGGCTCCACCCACGTGCCTGAGCTTCTTGCCCTCGCCCCCTCTCCTCCATCCCTAAGTCCAAAATGAGCCTGGATCCCCACACATTTCCTCCCCGGCCCTCCAAACAGAGGTCACCTTCCTCTTACCTCTCCTCCCGCCTAACTCGGCTCTCCTCCCTCCCCTTTTAATCCTCAGGTAGAAGAGGAGGATCAGGGCTAATCTAGGGGCCACAGCTGTTCCCCCTTCCAGCACCTCATGGCTGAGAGGGTGGGTCGGGTGGAACCCTTCGAATCGCTGCCCAGGGACTGGTGGGTGGTCTTAGTTCCCCCAAACGCCCGTGGTCCCACCGCCTACCCTGTCCCTGCAGCCGGTTCTCCTGGCCACTCCGCTCCCATGGCTCTCAGGCTGCTGGATGCCGGCCCACATTCTGCCCTCGTCGCTAAGCTGCTCCTTGTCTCTCCCTCCTGGTCCGGCTCCCGGGTGGGTCTCCACTGCTCGTTCCCTGAAATGACCCCGCGGGCACGGGCGCCTGCTCCCTTCCGGGCCGGCCTCCCCCAGATCGCGCTCCCCCAGTGCGACACTCTGCTTCCAGCATGAGCCCACCCCAGCGACCCTCCCCCGTCCACCTCCAGGCCTCACTCCCTTGCCCTGCAGCAGCGTCTCACATCTGGCCTCAGCCCCTTTCTGTGTCTTTTCTTGGCTGACGTTGCTTTGTCCCTCCACTTAGCTGGGCCAGCTCCCCCCGACCTCCCACCCCGCCTCGGACCTGCCGCGGCACGGAGGACTTCCGAGGCAGGGCTCGATGGACGCGCTCCAGCAGGAGAATGCAGAGTAGAGTTGCAGATTATGCACTTTTCATTTTTGTTTACTCTCAAAGTACATAGAACTCTCTGCTCTTGGCTCCTCTGGCTCAGCGTTTCCTCCGTAATGCTGGGCTGTACCTGGGAGAGCCAGACGTCAGGCCGCACTCCACTCGGGAACAGCAAGTGCACTGACGGTGCCAGGGGCCTCCTCCCACACGTCTCCAGCCTCCCAGGCAGCAGCGCTGAGAGTGAGGCCTACCGAGCCAGGCTTCGGTCTGTTCCTTGGCCAGGTCACCTCGCCCCCAGTTTCCATTTGTGAAACGGAGGGGTAACCATACAGCCCTTTCGGGGGTTGTCAGGGAGTAAATAAGTTGTGCGTGTGGAAGGCTGAGCGTATTAGCGCGGTGCCTGCGTGGAATCACTAGTCCGGGCTCGCCAACACGGTCTCTCCCCACCACTCGCCCGGTGCGCCCTCAGCCCGTATTAGCGCGGTGCCTGCGTGGAATCACTAGTCGGCGCTCGCCAACACGGTCTCTCCCCACCACTCAGGGCCGACGCCTTTCATATCTTTGTGTTTTTT